AGAATAAATTATCCTTTTTTATTTTCAATTTTGTGGAAATAGTATGTGTTTATACGAGAAATTGCAAAATTTAAGATTATGCCATGAGTCAATTATTTTTTGAATGAATGGATAAAATTATGTCATGTTAGATCTGTTATTCTGGTACCTTTGATAGATTAGATGCCACATAGGAGGAGTCCCAAAAAGATGAAATTTATGTTTTAGTTACCTATTTGAATTGAAGTGGCCTGTTTTAGCTATTATTTATGAGAAGTTTCAATTGAAATTATGAGCTAACAAATAATAGGGACAGCTGGCTAAATCTAGGTGGAGATCTGATTCATTCGTTGTTAAGGTGTTCACTTTCTCCAAGAAACTACTCATATTTGTGTAGCCGCTAGGTAGTGGGGAGTTGCAAGCATCAAAGGATACAAACAAAAGTGAATTTCCTAATTATTCAACACATGACCAACCAAACACACAACCCATCAAGAAACTACTCATATTTGTGTAACCGCTAGGTAGTGGGGAGTTGCAAGCATCGAAGGATACAAACAAAAGTGAATTTCCTAATTATTCAACACATGACCAACCAAACACACAACCCAGAATTAACTTTAGCACTCTTAGAACTTGTTAGCAATTGCCTACTTTAGTTTCTAGATTTCAATTTTCAACACAATTTTCAAAAAATTTAGGTTGTTTTTAGCATTCAAATAGTCAAATTAATTCATTTAGTTGCTTCTGCAATTCCTTTTCACGAAATTAACAACAAGCTTTTTAATTTCTGTAATGTACTATTCCTTTTTTGTCTAGTACTTGTTTAAGGTTTATGATAAGTAGTGTTTCTCCAAATGATTATTTATATAACGTTCATGCTTCTTCTTGGTTTTTGGCATGTTAGTTTAGGATTAAATTTTCAATTTTGTAGTAGTTTAATTTTCAGTTTTATCTGTAGCTGTAGTTTAATCTGACAATGAACATACTTAGTTTAACTTGTATGCATCCTTTGTTCACAAGTTTATTTTAATTTGCACTTCATTTAGTTTATTTAGAATCTTTTAACTTTAATTCATGGTAGTATTTAAGTCTTTGAAGTTATCGAAGATAAATTTAGTAACTTATTCTGCAAGAAGGCATTCCTCCCTCTTTTGCAAATCATCTGAAGGTGCAGATTATATCTTTAAAACCAACGTTCTTCCAGTCATCCATAAGGAGGTTAACCGTGAGCAAGGAGATGCTCAATGGGAAAATAATCTTTTCTTACTTTATAGAAAAGTAAGTGGCACACCTCACATTCAAATCTACCGCGCATGTGGTGTCTTCTTAAGATTTTTCAGGAAAAAGTATGTGTTTTTGTTGAAAATCAAACTCAACAACAATACAAAGGAATAAGCCTAAGATTGGATCCAATAATAAGTAAGTCTGTAAGTACTGTTTTGTAAATCAGATTCAGAATTTAAGCTTTGGTAGTAGTACTTAAAAAAATTAATTTCTTTAAATACAATGGGTCAATATGGAAGGTACGCCTTTAACATCACTTGGGAAATAATTAGT